TGTCACTGACCCTTCCTTTGAGTCTACTGCTGCGTCGGCTCTTGTTGCTGAGCTTGTCGTCTCGACTACGCCGCTAGTCTATTTGCTGAGTCCGAGTCTGTCTGTCCTCCGTCCGTCGGGGGTGAGTGTGCTCTTAGCACGGACGTCCTTGAGGACAGGCAGGAGGAGTTCCAGTGTTTTGCTGCTGCTTTACCTCATCTCGTGTCCATGCTGCTTGCCCCTGAGGGAGACCCGGATGCACCAGACATCCCGACCCCACGCTCTTACGCAGAGGCGATAGAGGGTCCCTACTCCTCTCAGTGGCAGACAGCCATGGACGCAGAGATGGCTTCCTGGAAGTCCACAGGCACCTACGTCGACGAGGTTCCCCCACCTGGGGCGAACATCGTTAGCGGCATGTGGATTTTCAGGGTGAAGCGGCCGCCAGGTTCTCCGCCTGTCTTCAAGGCGCGCTACGTGGCTCGAGGCTTCAGTCAGCGGCAGGGAGTTGACTACTTTCAGACCTTCTCTCCCACCCCGAAGATGACCACTCTTTGGGTGCTGCTGCACGTCGCCGCTCAGCGTGACTACGAGCTTCACTCTCTTGACTTCAGCACAGCCTTCCTACAGGGCAGCCTGCACGAGGAGATCTGGCTGCGCCGCCCACCTGGCTTCACTGGGTCGTTTCATCCTGGTACCCAGTGGAGCCTCCGGCGGCCAGTCTACGGTCTCCGTCAGGCGCCCCGTGAGTGGCACGACACACTGAGGACTACGCTTGCGGCTCTTAGGTTTGCTCCTTCCACTGCTGACCCGTCGTTGTTTCTCCGCACCGACACTACCCTGCCGCCGTTCTACAACCCCGTGTACGTCGACGACTTGGTCTTTGCTACTGCTGACACTGCTGGACTCGCCCACGTGAAGTCGGAGCTGCAGAAGAGACACACGTGCACAGACCTGGGTGAACTGCGCAGCTATCTTGGCTTGCAGATCACCCTGGACAGAGCACGGCGCACCATTACCCTAACCCAGTCACACATGGTGCAGCAGGTCCTTCAGCGCTTCCGCTTCACGTACTCCTCGCCTCAGGCCACTCCTTTGTCTACTCGCCACTCGCTCTCACCTCTGCCTTCGGATGAGTCCGTAGAGCCGAGTGGCCCGTACCCAGAGCTTGTGGGCTGCCTCATGTACCTGATGACCTGCACTCGACCTGACCTGGCATACCCTCGTAGCATCTTGGCACGCTATGTTGCTCCTGGGAGACACCGACCAGAGCACATGGCTGCAGCGAAGAGGGTGTTGCGCTACTTGTGCAGTACGTCGGGCATGGGGATCGTGCTTGGAGGGCGGAGTTCAGTGGTCCTCACTGGTCACGCAGACGCGTCTTGGGTTGACGACCTGGCTACGCAGCGGTCGTCACAGGGTTACACCTTCAGCCTTGGTTCCGGCTCTGTCTCGTGGCGGTTTACCCGCTCGTCTTCTGTTCTCAGCTCCAGTTGTGAGGGTGAGATCTACGCTGGGGCCATGGCTGCACAGGAGTTACGCTGGCTCACCTACCTGCTGACCGACTTGGGAGAGCCGCCTCGTTCTCCTCCAGTTCTGTACGTCGACAACAAGGCAATGCTGGCCTTGTGTCAGGAGCACAGACTGGAGCACAGAACGAAGCACATTGCTCTTCGCTACTTCCTTGCACGTGAGCTGCAGCAGCGTGGTCAGCTGCGCCTTGCTTACGTGGCCTCTCGGGCCAACACTGCTGATATCTTTACCAAGGCACTTCAGCATTGTGATCATCAGCGGTTCTGTACTATGTTAGGTCTTGTGCCTACCTGGCCTCACTTGCTTACCTCTTGACATTGCTTGTACTGCGATCTATATAATCCTGCATGTGAACTGGCCCTGTGGCCTTGTACTTGTGCTCAGATTGTGTGGTGACGTTGTGATCCACCCTGAGCTTGACCTTGCCTTGTTCTCTTGCTTGTCCCCCACTTTGCCTATGGGGGTGTGTCAGAACTATATTGTAGGCTGTATTGGGGTAGACACTATTGAGTACAACTCCTTTAGGTTTACATACTTGTACCCACCTGCCTGCTAGTTGATCCCATTTCCTTGTTCTATCTTTCATACGATCTGGTGCCTATCGCACTGGCGCCTATCCCGCTGGCTAGCACCTATCGCGCTGGCTGGCGCCTACCACGCTGGCGCCTATCACGCTGGCGCTTATCGCGCTGGCTGGCGCCTATCGCGCTGGCGCCTTCCCCGTTGGCCGGTGCCTATCGCGCTGGTGCCTAACGCACTGGCGCCTAACGCGCTCGCGCCTATCGCGCTGGCCCCTATCTCGTTGGCTGGCGCCTATCGCCGCGCTGGCGCCGCCTACAGCGCTGGCGCCTACCGCGCTGGCGCTGCCTACCGCGCGCTGATGCCTACCGTGCTGGCGCTTGTCGCGCTGGCGCCTATCTCGCTGGCGCCTGTTGCGCTAGCGCCTGCCGCGATGGCACCTATCGTGCGGCGTTTAACACGCTGGCCTCGAGCGTGCTAGTGCCTGTCGCGTTGGCGCCTGCCACGCTATCGCCTAACGCGTTAGCGCCTATCGCGCTATCGCTTAACGCCTTGGCGCCTGCCGCGCTGACGCCTGTCGCGCTGGCGCCCATCGCGCGGGCGCCTATGGCGCTGGCGCCCAAGGCGCTGGTGCATAACACGTTGGCGCCTATCGCGCTGGCGCCTTAAGTGCCCGCAACTTTGGCAACGGCAACTCTTCCTTAGTCCTTTTGGACACGCCTTAGTGATTGGTGCTAAGCGCGTTAGCCCTAGGGTGCTCACGCCTTAGGTGTTGGTGCCTTGGGCGCATTGGCGCTTATGGGTGTTGACCCGGCGACGCATGCACCTAGAGCGCTGGCAGTAGCAGCACCATGGGCGTTGATGTCGTGGACAACTTTGTTGTGCTTTTGGAGTTGGCGCGTTTGCGCCTAGAACGCTAGGTGTGTTTTTGGTGCAAATACCTCCCCATTACCATTTTTGCTCCCTTTACTTTCTTCTGTAGGTGATACATCCCGTGCATGTTGAGGTGGTGTGCGTGATGCCTTGAAACCATATGTGTGAGTCGTCAACTTGGATTTGCCTCCCGAATTCATCCTTTAGCAATCTTTTGCATCATTTTGAATAGCACTTTCCATCATGCGTTACTGTTTTTGATGCAGCGCGCTGGCGCCTTGCTGCAGTGCGCTGGCGCCTTGTTTCGGTGCGCTGGCGCCTTACATAATTCACTTCACCCACTCACAGCCGTATATTTCTTGCGTGACCTGTGTTTTGCAGGATGTGCAAGCCGTTTTGTGGGAAGTAGAATGTGGAAGGCGAGGGAAAGATTTGGCAAGGGAAAGATTTGGCAAAACATAGGGACAAAGAGGGAAGGGGAAAAGGGATGGAAGGAGGAGCAGGCTAGCAGTGATTGTTACGTTAACAGCTTTTTGCGACTCTTTGTTGTGCTTGTTTGCTCTCTCTCGTCGTTGTATGTATGTGTGTGTATATATATATGTGCCTCAGTGCATGTGTGTATGTGTGTATATCGTGTGTGCGTGGGTGGGTGTGCTGTGTGTGTGTCAGTTGGTTGTGATTACTTCAGGGTGTGGTGTTGGTATGCATCGTGTTTGCAGCTGAGGTTGTCATCGTCGTTGGCGCAGTGCGTTTTCACTGTCTCAACGACCCCATCAATCTCAGTTGTAGCATTGGTGCATATTAACATCCATTTTGATGTCGTCACAACTTTTTTTTCGTGACGTTTGCATTTCATGTTTGTGTGATGTGCATGTTCCAAGGCAGGGTGTTCCAATGCATCGTGTATGCAACTAGAGGTTGTCATCGTCGTTGGTGCAGCGTGTATTCGCTGTTTCAACGGCCCCATCAATCTCTATTGCTACGTTGATACATTGTAACATTTCTTGAAGCATTCGCATCACACTTCATACCGTGTTCATTTGTACAAATGCATTCGCTCATGTTGATGCCATGTTCGATCGTACCATCCGCCGTATTAATCGACGAGCTGGGACGGCCGGAAAAAAATCATGGTTTCAACATGATATGTAATAGGTTTCACTTTTGGGAGACCTCATTCATGAGTGATTTTTATTCACGATTTGAAGCATTCTTTTCAAGCGGGTGCTCCAAAGAGTGCTGTAAAAATCACTCTTGAAAATGATATCCCCAAAAGATGAAATCGATTATATAGGGTTGCTACGCAACCCAAAAACTCCCCGGGGTGTTTCCGTGAGAGCGAATTTGATTTTTTTCGTCAAACCTGAATTTGTCGCGCAACATTTCCGATTCCCTAGAGGGGTTTCTCGAAACACTGGTTACTCCAGACGAAGTCTGCCGATTTTTGAAGTCCAACCTAACCAACCAACTGAACCGTACATCCATCCACACTCTGTGTATCGAGGAAAGAGTAATGGAGACGTTCTGTGTATTTTGCTGCTATTGCGGTGCTCTGACGAGACTCGGACGTCATGCGGTCCTAGGAGTCTAGGGACCTGGTTTCAGCCATTCTGTTGCTCGACAAAAAAGGCGAACGCTTTTAGCGTTACTAGAACAGGCGGCAGCAGCAGGGTTGGGTTTGAACTGATGTAGTCAGGTACAGTAATTGATGGATTCAGAGTCCGCTCACCACCAAGTACTCCTGTGCCTTGAAATGTGAGAGTTTCGCCTGAAGCTCCAATTCATTCAGTGCTTGGCTGTTATCGACCGGCTATCATTGATCCAATATGGATTCATCAAGACTCGTGGCTGCAGTTATTCTAGTCGTGTCCCTGTTTCAGCATTTCGTTAGTGTTCGCCCGTTATTAGCACGAGGTGACGGCGAGGGTGAAATCGGGACCGGAGTCGGCCTTAGCGCGACTTCCGTTCCAGGCGGTTCGCGGAACAAGTACGCTTACGTCACGCTGTTGTGCGATGACGTCATGGCAGAGGCAGCGATGGTGATGGTACACTCCGTACGCCGTACAGGCACGCCTCACGATATCGTAATACTCACCATGAACGTCTCCAATCGCACGCTAGAGTCGCTGGTAGCCTTGGGGGCGAAGATCGAGCCCATTCTGGAGCCCGTGCCTTATCCGTTCGCCGTCACGGCGGACCGACTTGCCATCAACAAGCCGTGCAGGTAAGCCGTGCAGGTAAGAGCCGATTTCTAGGCGCGTGCCTGTGCCTAGAGTACTCAAAGAACGATACTGGAACCCGTGCCTGATCCCTTTGCTGTTACCGCGAAAAGACTCGCAATGTCCAAGCTTTGCAGGTACGAGCCACATGTTCCTAGCAGCTTTGAGAAGTCTAAAAAGGAATAACCTTCTTGAGTTGGCATTTGTTCTTAGAAGCATTCAGTCTGGCAAGCAGCAAGCCATGCTTGTGTGTGTGCCAGTGAGGGAAGACATTTCCCTCCAGCTCACTGAGGCTCGTTTGTGCTTGAACCGTGCAGGTACTTCAAGCTGCTTATCTGGATCAAGGTGTGAATCACCCAATTGGGATCCGACCGACGCATGACTGGATACAGGACTGATTGCTCAACATGACCATTGGCGAAGAGTTGGTCAGTGGGGAACACGGTGTTGACACCGTGATCATCCACTCTCCACCTCATTCGTCTCTCTCATCCCTGCCTCCCTCCCTCCCCCCTTCGCAGGTATCCCAAGCTGCTGACGTGGAACATGGTGTGCTACCTACCGCACCGCAAGCGCATCTACCTCGACCTCGACCTGCTCGTGTCCTCCAATGACCCAGGAGGACCCATTCTCAATACACATCATGTGACCATCTCACCCCTCTCTTCTCTTCAGGTACACCTAGCTGATGCGCAACGTGGTGTGTTACCGCAAGCTTATGTGTCCGTTCCCTGCCTCCCTGCACGCAGGTACTCGAAGCTGCTCATATGAAACATGGTGGGTTACTGCAAGCTCATCTACTTCTGGGTTAGAGGAAACAACCTACCAGTTTCCAAAACCCTTCTCGCCAAGTACCCGAAGCTGCTGATGTGGAACATGGTGCGGTACCACCACGGTCTGATTGGGTGTGTCCTTTGACTCGCCAATCCGCGTCTGTGCGACCCCTGCACCCACCAGGTACTCGAAGCTGCTGATGTGGAACATGGTGCGCTACCGCAAGCTCATCTACCTGGACTCGGACCTGCTCGTGCTGCACAGCATCGACGACCTCTTCCACCGCCCGCAGCTGTCCGCGGCGCCCGACACGCTGCCGCCCGACAAGTTCAACAGCGGGCTGATGGTGGTGGAGCCCAACCGCGCCATGTTCAAAGACATGCTCTCCAAGATCGCCACTCTCGTCTCACCCAACGTGGGCGACCAGGGCTTCCTGAACAGCTACTTCTCGTCGTGGTACCAGCAGGGCCCCGTGCACCACATCGACTATACGTACAACGCGCTCGTGCGCATCTCCGTGTCGCCCGGCTGGCGCCTCTTCATCGAGCCCAAGCTCAAGGTGCTGCACTTCTCGGGCAACACCAAGCCCTGGAACATGATGGTCGACCGCCAGGTGTGTGTGCTTCACCTCCCCCGCTTGGGTGCCTCCTCCTCCTCCTCCTCCCCCTCCTCCTCCTCCTCCTCCTCCTCCTCCTCCTCCTCCTCCTCCTCCTCCTCCTCCTCCTCCTCCTCCTCCTCCTTCTCCTCCTCCCTCCCCCCCTCCTTTCCCCTCCCGTTCCTTTCAAAATTCTCTCCCTTTCCCCCCCGTCCCCACGTCCTCCCTTGCGCCACGGCAGTTCCCCACAACGAGGGCGTTCGACCACCGGTGGTGGGAGGTGTATGACGACGTCTACTCCATCCTGCACCGCCAGGCGCTCAAATCCTCCAAGTCCTCCTCCTCCTCCTCCGCCTTCAACTCCCGCTCCACCCTCGACACCACCGCTGCTGCCACTGCAGCTGCTGCTGAGAAGGCTGGTGGTGGGGGGAGTGGAGGGGTTGGGGGGGCGGGGGAGAGCTTGGAGGCGGTGGCGACTGCTGCCCGGCTGGCAGCAGCAGCGGCGGCAGCAGCAGGGTCGCCCTCGGAGCCGCCCCAGCTGGCGCCGCAGTGCCAGCGGAACTACATGGCGTATGCCCGGTGCGTCCCTCCGGCCTCTGTGTTTCCAGACAGTGGCGTGTGCGTGGAGAGAGAATAACTTTGTGTGTGGTGGTGAGGGAGTGGTGTGTGTATAGTGAGTGAGTGGTGAGTGAGTGGTCTCTTGACTGCTTCCGTAGAGTGCAGCAGACTCTGGTGAGGCAGGGTGAAAGCACAAGACATACAGTAGTCCAATGTGATAATACTGCTTCCACCGCTCTCACCTTCGCTTCCCTCCTCTCACTCGCTACTCCCCCTACCAAACCCATACCCATGTCCCACCCCAACCGGACAGCAAGCTGCCCATAACGGACAAGCTCAGCGTGATCATCAGCTGCTTTCACCGCTTCTACCCCGTCTTGAAATTCTCGTGAGCGTCATCGTGCGCTCCTTCCTTCCTTCCTGTCACTCCCAACCCCCGTTCCCCTCCCCAACCGGGCAGCAAGGCACCGATAACGGACAAGTTCAGTGTGATCATCAACTGCTTTGACCGCTTCGACCTGATGCTCTACTTTGTGCGGCGCTACGCGCGCTTTGAGTTCGTGCACAAGGTGTACATCGTGTGGGGCAACACGCGCGTGACGCCCTTCCACCCCGCCTACTTCAACGTGTCCAAGCCCGTCGAGATCCTCTACTCCGGCATCGACTCGCTCAACGACCGCTTCAAACCCATCCGGTCAGTGGAAAGATGGCCATACTCCTCCCTTCTCGCCCTGCCATTCTCTTTCTCGCCCTGCCATTCTCTTTCTTGCCCTGCCTCGTTCTTGTCCTCTTGATTCCCCATTCACGCGTGCCCCTCTCACTGCATTGTGTTCCCCCAGCTCCCTGGAGACAGAGGCAGTGCTGATGTGTGACGACGACATCGAGGTGCATCCAGGTGCGCTGCGAGTGGCGTTTGAGCGGTGGCAGGAGGAGAAGTACCGCCTCGTCGGCTTCTTCCCGCGCGCGCACTACCGCGAGGTCAACGGGCCGCGCAGCGGGCAGATGACGTACGTGCTGACGCCGCGGCAGGAGTACAGCATCGTGCTCACCAAGATGTTCCTCATGCACGGCGACTACCTGCGCGCGTACACCTGCATCATGCCGCAGCGCGTGCGCGAGTACGTGGAGCGCAACAAGAACTGCGAAGACATCACCATGAACTTGGTGGTGACGCAGCTGTCGGGGCTGCCGCCGCTGCTGATGGAGGACCCCACGAAGCTCGACTACGGCACGTCGTCCGGGCTGTCGTCCCGCGGGAGCCACGACAACTCCAGGTGAGCGCCTGGTGTTGAATAGTGATACTGGCAGGGAGCTGTCCCTCTGCATGTGCATCTGTGCTGTAACGCCCCTCCAACCCCAGGTCCATGTGCATGAACGGTATTGCCAACATGCTGGGGTCCATCCATGTCTCACTAGCCTCCTGCATGCCACCACACGTGTGTCAATTGTGCTGTTTGCTTCTCTGTATGTGTGCTGTTCTACCCCTTGATCTCAGGTCGGTGTGCATGAACGACATTGCCATCATGCTGGGGTACATGTCACTGCGCAACACATCCGAGGCCGTCACCTACTTCGAACGAGACAAGATGGTCAAGGCGAGTCAATCCGAGTCAACGGATGCATGCATGGGATGGTCAAGGCGAGTCAATAAGGGCATGCAGGGAATGGTCAAGGCGAGTCAATCAGTCAAAGTCAACCAGTACATGCAAGGGATGCAGGGTTATTGAAAATGGCCGTATGTTTGGAAAATTCCTGTCAAAAAAGGCCGATCTAAACGGTTTAATACGGTTTCAGGAAGTGCTTTCCGTTTGGTTTAAAACGGCCATTTCAAACGGCCGTTTTTTCAAACCAGGGGGGCGCCAACCCATGGGGCGAGTCATATTGAATCAATGTACATTGAGTGATAGTAAATGTCAAGGTCTGGCAATGCACATTTGTGATGTCAGCCTGTGTCAAAGTCAGTCAGGTGAGTCCTTGTTGTTGTTGTAGTGTGCAGTATCGGTGTTGATGAGAGTCACAATACAATGGAGTTCACAGCAGTGTTGTCTGTAATCACCTCAAATGTCTGCATCTCGTTCCTCATTGCTCTTGCACACAATCAGGTGGTGCGGCGGCGCAGGCTGAGCACGGCAGGCTGAGCACGGCAGGCTGAGCACGGCAGGCTGATCACAATAGCGCACATGGTCTTTGCGCTAGTGCACATTCAAGTCTCAAAGCACAGCTGGCTTGAGTCTTGACGCTGCTCCCTGCATGTTTCCTCATCTCTCAATCACAACAATCAGGTGGTGCAGCGGTGCAGGCTAAGCACAGCAGCGCACAGCACATGGTGATTGAGCCGGTGGTTGACGGATTTGAGCAGCAATGCCATCATGCACCTCTCTGCATGTTTCTTCCTTCCCTCTCACACACATCAGGTGGTGAGACGGCGGCGGCTGAGCACGGCGGCGCACATGGTGTTTGAGCCGGTGTTTGACGCGTTTGAGCACCGCGGCAGCAAGCAGTTCCTCAAGCAGCTCACCTTCCAGCACCCCCTCATCACCACGGAGATCGCCCAAGTGCCCACGCACACCGTCAACCGACATGTCATGTGCATCAAGGTATGTCTGTGCGCGCATGCACGCACACTAGTGTACGTGTGTGGGGGGGAGGTGGGGGAGGGGAGAGAGGGGGGTGCCCGATGATCCCTCAACAGCAAGCATTTCCCTCATCACATCACATCACCACTGAGATCGCTCAGTGCCCACCTGCACTGCCAAAAGACACGCCATGTGCCCCAAGGTGTGAGTGGGTGTGGTTGATGTGTGAGTGGGTGGGTGTGGGTGTGGGTGTGGGTGTGGGTGTGGGTGTGGGTGTGGGTGTGGGTGATGTGTGTGCGTGCATGCGTGTGGAAAGTGTGCACCTCTATTCAACATGTCAGTAAGCACTCAAATTCCCATTACTGTTTTCTGCCTGTCACAATTCCACCATCCTCTCCTCTCTCCCTCTCTCCCTCCCTCTCTCTCTCCCTCCCCCCCCTCCCTCCCTCCCTCCCTCCCTACCTCCCTCCCTCCCTCTCTCCCTCCCTCCCTCCCTCCCTCCCTCCCTCCCTCCCTCCCTCCCTCCCTCCCTCCCTCCCTCCCTCCCTCCCTCCCTCCCTCCCTCCCTCCCTCGTTGACCGTCACGCCACGCAACAACCTTGGTACCGGCCAGGGGGACAACGACGAGGACATGGACGACCCGGCGCGCAACCAGTACACGCTGCTCGACTTCGCCTCCGTGCCCCCGGACGCGGGGCACCTCTCAGGCAGCACCTTCATCGCGCACAGCCAGTGGGGCTTCGAGGGCCGCTTCACACTGCTGCACCTCGCCTCCTCCCTCGCCACGTGGCGCCGCTCCCACGGCTGCTTCGGCCCCGCCCGCCTCATGCTCTTCCAGGATGGCATGCTCCGCACGCAGGTGGGCTGCCTGCTGCTGAGGCCGCTGCTGTGTGGAGGGCGGGATGTGTGTGCCTCCGTCCCCCTCTCCCTCGCTCCCACAGCTGCTTCGGCCCTCGTGCTTTTTCACGACGGCATGCTCCGGACGCAAGTGGGTGGGTTGGCCAACCGTATGTGGGTTTGGACTGTGCATGTGTGTGGCCGAGGGCAGTGCATGTGTGTGGCCGAGGGCAGTGCATGTGTGTGGCCGAGGGCAGTGCATGTGTGTGGCCGAGGGCAGTGCATGTGTGTGGCCGAGGGCAGTGCCAGCCTTCACAGTGCCTGGCGATTGCGGTGGTGCTGCGCGGCAGGAAAGGCAACAGTCGCTCAAGCCGCGCACTTCCCCTTCCTCTCACACACATGCACCAACGAATCCCCTCTCACCCCCCTCCTCTTCTCTCCGTTCCCCCTTCTCCGTCTCCCTTTTCCCTTCCCTCCGTTCCACTGTCACCCCACGCCCACCCCTCAGATATCAGCGTGGGCCAGCAACCTGCTCAAGGCAGTGCTGGGGCCGGGAGCAGCGCCGCCGTTCAAGCCACCGGACGGGGTGACGCCGCAGTGTCTGGAGAACGCGGTGGTGCTGCGGCAGCGCGACACCTTCAACGCCGATGAGTGCAGCAGCGACGCTCAAGAGCTGCGCCGCATTGTCCGTGCCTTCTGCCAGTGAGTGGCGTTTTGAAGAGTGTTGGAATACTGTGTTTGTGGGTTGCGTCTTGAGGTGTGTGTGTGTGTATGTTTGAGTCGACTCAAAGCAATGTCTGGAGAACGCGGTGGTGCTGCGTCAGCGGGGCACCTTAACGCCGATCAGTGCAGCAACTGCGCTGCATCGTGCGAGCCTTCTGCCAGTGAGTGGCGCTTCTGAAAAGTTTTAGAATTCTCTGCTCGTGATTGGCGTGTTGAGCAGAGAGTGTAGCCAGTGAATGTGCCGGCAGTAGTTGTGAATGTAGCAGGGACGCCCAGGGTGTGTGAATGCGCTGCATTGTGGCGTGCCTTCTGCCAGTCAGTGAGTGGCTTTTTCGAGAATTACGTGAATTCTTTGAGTGAGTTCGTTTTTTTCAGTGGTGCCTTGAGTGAGCACTCTTTACACAAACGCCACTCACTGGCAGAAAGCCACTATTTGGCCTTTTTGCAGGGCTGCACCCATGATCTCCAACTCCACAAGAGTTTTATGTTTGCCACCCGTGATCTCAATCTTCACAGGAACTCATATGAGAGAACTCATGTGAAATGACACGAGTTCTGAGGCGCCTCAACCCTCGCCTCACCCAGCATTTCAAGATTCACAAGAATGCATATGAGAGAACTCATGCCGCGTGACTTTCCGCACTGCTCGCTTTCCACCACCTTCCCTCGTGTGTCCATCATTCCCCACCCCCACATCACCTGAGTACCGGCAGTGCCAGCACCAGAGGACCTCCCTCCACTGCTGGAAGAGGAGTGCATGGACACAGCACTCATGCACGAGATCTGAGGCCATTCAACCCTCCCCTCTTCCCCCGTCCCACTGCTTCCACTGTCCACAGCACGCGAGTGCCAGCAGTGGCAGCAGCAGAGGACCCCCCGGCACTGCTGGGCGAGGAGGGCATGGACGTGCGCATAGCGTTTGCGGGCGACGCGGACAACTGGGCGCGCATGCCGTGGTTCAACTTCTCCCTCGCCGCCACCTGGATCCGCCAGGAGTGCGCCGTCTTCTCGCTCTCCTGCGAGGTGGCCACCGTGCCACGAGGGGAGTTCTGCCGCGTCAAGGTGAGCGCCTGTGGCCGTGGGCCAAGTGTCAAGGGAAGAGAGCTCTTGGGTGTCCATGCCAGGAGAGGGCTGCCCCCGTCGTCTCCCTGGGCGCGCACGCCGTGGATTCGCCAGGAGTGTGCCGTCTTCTCTTCTGACTCAACTGTGAAGTCGCCACCGTGAGTTGCCCACACATGAGTTCTGCCCAGACAAAAGGTGAGTTGTCTCACAGCAAGAGGTACAGAGGGAGGGATGGGCACAGAAACACACGGAGTGACTGTGAGAGACGTCCTGCCCTCTCTCACCTTCTTCTCTCCTCCGCTTCTCTCCTTCCACCTTCCTTTCTCCTTCCCTTTCCTCTTCCCTTTCCGCTGCTTTTCTCTCAGCTCTCTCTCGCTTCTTTCTCTTCCCTGTTCTGAACTCACTAGACTTTTTTCATCTCATAGGTTTCTTCTGTTCCCAACCCTATCCTCGTTATAAGCTCTCACCCAGTCTTCTGTCCCCCTGCTGCAACTCACTCCCCACAGGTTTTGGGCCTGGGCCGAGCGGACATCGTGATTGGTCCGTGGGGTGACCGGGCACTGGACAACATAATATTCCTGCTGCCCGGAACAGCGGTGCTGGAGCTGTACCCATCGAACGCGCATGAGGAGGACCGCAAGACCGCCAAGCTCGAGGCCGAGTGCCTTGACCTCGCCTATGAGCAGGTGGGGCGTTGTGGGCACGTGTGGGGTTATGGGCCGGTGGGGAATGGTGAGCAGGTGGGGAATGGTGAGCAGGTGGGGAATGGTGAGCAGGTGGGGAATGGTGAGCAGGTGGGGAATGGTGAGCAGGTGGGGAATGGTGAGCAGGTGGGGAATGGTGAGCAGGTGGGGAATGGTGAGCAGGTGGGGAATGGTGAGCAGGTGGGGAATGGTGAGCAGGTGGGGAATGGTGAGCAGGTGGGGAATGGTGAGCAGGTGGGGAATGGTGAGCAGGTGGGGAATGGTGAGCAGGTGGGGAATGGTGAGCAGGTGGGGAATGGTGAGCAGGTGGGGAATGGTGAGCAGGTGGGGTGATTCGATTGAACAGGTGAGTGTTCATGACACTCCCTGTCATCTCATCCCCTTCCCCCTTCGCCCACCCCAGATGCGCATGGATGTGGCCATGATTGATGTGCACTCGTGGTTGAGCAAGCACCTGGAGACGCATCACCCTCACACTACACTCCCTGCTATCCCATCCCTCCCCCCATGCCCCCACCTCCACTCTGCACCCTGCCAATACGCATGGACGTGGCAACGAAGGATGTGGTATTGTGGGTGAGCCCCCCAAGCTGCACCTGTATGCACGCACCTCACATCGCGCTCCCCCCTCACCACTCGCCCATCTCCCTCAGATGTGTGTGGATGCACCTGCACTCATACATGATCATACCCTCACACCGCACTCCACCATTTCCTCTTTCCTACTTCCTTTTTTCGCTCCACACCCATTTTTCCTTCAGATGCGCATGGCTGTGGCAATGAAGGACATGCTGTCGTGGGTGAGCAAGCACCTGCACACACACATGCATGCGTGAGCTTTCACACCACAGTCCTTGCTTTCCCTTCCTTCCCCCCTGCCCCTGTCAGATGCGCATGGACGTGGCGATGAAGGACGTGCTGTCGTGGGTGAGCAAGCACCTGGAGACGCTGGGGCGGCGGCAGAAGGGTGGCGCAGAGGAGGGCGAGCCCACCTTCCTCGAGGCCTGCGTGCACCGCAACCTGCGCTACTGAGCGAGCTCGACGAGGGAGGAGGGGGAGAAGAGGAAGAAGAGGGAAATCGAAGGGCGGGGGAGGGGGGGGGGGGGGGGAGGGGGAGGGGAGGGGGGGGGGGTTGGGTGGGGTGGGGTTTGAGCCCACCTTTTATAAGGGTACATTCCTGCAAAGACATGTACTCGGTTTAGGCGTCACGAAAGCAATGTATCGCTCTGCACCACATTACACCATGTATCGAACGTTTCGACCACATTGTATCTCGTCGTTTGAGATGCAAGGCTTATGTGACGCGCTCCAGGAATGTACCCTAAGAGCGTGTTCCTACACCTCGTATCAGACACACCCAGGCCCTCAGATTGCAGGAATTTTACCCTGATTTGGGGTTTGAATGCTGATTTTCAGGGTTTTTTTAGGCCTCGAGGCTGATTGGAAAGTTTAAAAAATTATCCCCACCAGGCCCTCAAATTCCAAGTGTGTGGGTGGGGTTTCGTGAATCACGCGAAGGTACAGACTCAACAGGCGTACCCTATCCCCCCCCTCCTCCCCCCCCCCCCCCCCCCCCCCTCCCCCTCCCCCCACGCGGTCAAGTCCGTTTCAGTGTGACTCGCCTCACTACACTGATTCGTCAGTGTTACTTGTACAGCAACACACAAAATGGTCAGTGTTGCAAGGTAGGTTATACTGAAATTTCAGTGCAAATTTGAAGCATATGCTGAATTTTCAGGGAAAACGAAAATCACAGCTACAAAATCAGCCTAATTTGAGGGCCTGATCCCCACACTGATTTTTAAGCTAACTTTCTTGTACTAAGGGCGCATCACCTCGGGGCTGGAAGGCCCAAATCCGAACATACGTAACGAATTCACTGTACGAACAGTTTCCCGACGAGTTTCGAACACAAATTTGAACACTCTGGTGAATGTGACAGCTCGTGACGAGAGGTGACAGCCTGTTCGAACATGCGACGTCGCCAAGTGTTGGACGACTTCGCGAAACGTCGCAAGAAAAAAAATTAGTCGTCTGCATGGCGACATTTGCAATGGTCGCAAACATATGTGTGCGACCCGAAGCCTGCTAACCAATAAATCAGTCGTCCTTGCGGAATCCCTGTCACCAATCCCAACTTGTTCGAACACTCTGTTCGAACGTGCGGAATGTAGAGCCTCGTGCCCCATGTGACAGCTCTGTTCAGATTCGCGAAATTTCCGACTAGCGACGTCACGAACACCCATACGAGGAGTGGCGAAAGATGTAACATTTCGCCTGTTCGAACGAGCGTGCTGTTCGAACTGAGAGGTGAAGCGCCCTAAGCCTGAAATTTCAGCCAACTTTTACCAAGGGGCCCTGATTCGAATCCCACTGTAGTGAGGTTTTACTTGACGAAATTGCCTAGATTCATGAAATCTGGCAGAATTTTCGCCAACATTCTCCTCCGAGAGAGAAGGCAGCACAACACCAAGCGACAAGGTTCGAACCCGAAACCTCATTCTTCAGAACTCACGAATCTACTCATCAGACCACTGGAAGCTGTCCAGTAATGGAACTCGAGGAATATGTTAGTATCACTAATTTAGAACTCACGAATCTACTCACTACACCACTGGAAGCTGTGCAGTAAGTTTTGTTTTTGCTAGTAACACTGATTTTCAGGGTTTTTTTTCCAGAGGAACCAGACAGAAAGTTTTTTTCCAAGGACCAACACTGACGAGAAAGCGTGGCCCAAAACGAATCTGAGGCCCCTGGACACACCTCGAATCAGCTTCGCGTTTTGAAATACGTTTCAGTTTCTTCGACTGCTAAGAAATTGGGAAGGGGGAAAAGATAAGAGGGCACAAGGGGGAGGGGGAGGGAAGTGGGGGTTGCTGATACAACCGGAATCGGTGTGGAAAGGATAAAACTTGCTAAGTTATGAGAAGACAATGAAGTCTTGAGGTGACCTTGTTAATAATTGTTGGAGTAACCGAAAGGTTATTATAACATTCCCGAAGGTTCTCTACCACGCACTACTCCATAACGAAGCAGTGCAACCAGGGCCTCAGATTCATTTTGGCCTAGGCTGAATCGTTAGCCCTAGGAATGAGCTGAAGGCTGATCAATCAGGATAGCCTTGAAAAAAAAAAGCTGAAATTTCAGTGTTTAGTTTAGAAAAATGGCTGATCATTCAGCCTTGCTTAAAAAGAAAGGCTGAACATAACTTCAAGCTCTCCTATAGCGCAACACAGTCATTCAACAGTCATAACAAAGTGTGGCATTGATAAAAGGGCACGCAAGGTGCTGTCAACAGTGCACACGACGTGCCTACATAGCTTCACACACGAAGATACAGTACCTTTTGTCGGCGACAACAGTGTGTGAATCTGAGCAAATTTTATGTGATTGGGCGAATTTCTCGTAGTACATGCTGTGTCAGAGCGAATTTCTTGTGATTGGGCGAAATTGTTGTGCTCTGACGGGGCGAATATCTGCTCTGTTGGGGCAAATTCGCTGTCTCAGGGCGAATTTGCTGAGTCAGGGCGAATTTGTTGAGTCATGACGAATCTGCAGTGACGAGTCAAGCTGAAACACGTGATGGGATTTCAGCCCACACCTCCATTACAACGCTGATCAGTCAGCGTACACCTCTGAAAAAAACTCTGAAATATCAGCCCATACAATGAAAAAAATGCTGAAAAAACAGCCCATACAACTAGAAAAAATCTGACAGATCAGCCTCATTTCTTCCCAGCACTGAAAACTCAGCCTTTTTACCCCTAATCTGCCTTTTTTCGCTGACTTCTGAGGCCCTGAGTGCAACTGTACAAGCACCGCAATAGCTCATATAGAGCATGCGGAAGATCGAGAGTCACTCTAAGGTCAACTGACGAAGACAGTCAACGGTCGTGACTCTTGACCGTCCAATAACCCCACTTGGTAGTTACGCAACACAACATGGTAACTGTCAAGAAGAGCAATAGTCGTGGTTACTGAAACAATGCAATGCAGTTATTAAGGGAATGTACCCCTCAGAGTACATGGCTAGCTAGATTGCTATTTATACCTCTATACTCTTATCTTTTATTTATCCCGAAGCGCGCTTCGCGTCCTGCCCTAAAATTTCGCGGCCCCTTAGTGGCCTGCCCCTTCACGGCCCCTTAGCGCCCCCTTCGCGGCCCCTTTAGCAGCCCCCTCGCGGCCGTCCTTCACGGCCCCGTCGCGGCCCCTTCACGGCCCCTTCGCGGCCCCTTCACGGCCCCTTCGCGGCCCTGTAGCGACCCCTTTGCGGCCCCTCTTAAGGCCTTTCGCGGCCCCTTCGCGGCCCCTCGCGGCCCCCTCACGGCTCTTCGCGGCCCCTTCGTGGCCCTTCGCGCCCCCCCCCTCTCGGCCCTTCGCGGCCCCTTTTCGGCCCCTTCGCGGCCCTTCGCGGCCCCCTCTCGGCCGTTCGCGGCCCCTTTTCGGCCCCTCTACGGCCCTTTGCGGCCCCTTCGGGCCCCTTGGCGGCACTTTCGCGCCCCCCCCCCCCTCCCCCTTCGCGGCTCTTCGCGGCCCGCCGTAGCCGCCCTGCCGCCCCGTCGTCGCCGCCTCACCAGCAGCTGCCGTCACCCCTGCTGCCACTGTAGCGGCCCTCCCGCCCCGTCGTCCCTGTTCCTGCAGCAGCGGCCGTCCCTGCAGCAGCTGCCGTCGCCGTCTCTGCCGCCACAGGAGCTGCCGGCCCTGCTGGTGTCGCGAGCCGCCGCCGCTGCTGCGGTCCCTGCTGCCCCGGCCCTGACCTGCAGCCGAGCCGCGGCCCTACCCTGCTGCCCAGTTGCGGCCCCGACCCTGCCGGCGCACCTCGGCCCTGCCACTCCGGTCGCAGCCACCCTACCCACTCGCCACTGGTAAGCGCCTTGCCGAGCCGCGCCCCTTTAGCCGAGTCGCACTGCCGCTGCTGCTGCTGTCATGGCTACCCCCAATGTGCTCACCTTTGATGCTGAGGGTCGGGCTGTCGATTTTGAGGTCTGGGTCGATGATCTGCAGCTTTTCCTGCAGTGCGATAGAAAAGACAGTCTCTCACTGTTCGATCTCACGTCTGCGCCTCTCCTGCCCCTACTGCCGATGCTGACAGTACTGTTCGCTCACAGTGGGCCACACGCGATGCTGCTATCCGTCTTGCTGTGCGTAGTCACCTGCCGTCCACTGAGCGCGCGCACTTTAGTCAGTTCAAGAGTGCTAAGACCTTGTACGACGCTGTAGTTGCACGCTACTCTTCCCCTGCCACTGCTGCCCTTAGTCGCCTCATGCTGCCGTACCTGTTCCCTGACCTCGCCGCCTTTCCCACAGTCGCTGACCTCATTACGCACCTCCGCACTAGTGACACCCGCTACCGCGCTGCGCTTCCTGCTGAGTTCTGCGCCAAGAACCCCCCCCCCCCCATGCACATCACCCTCTACTACCTAGTCACCCGGCTCCCTGACTCCCTTCGCTCGGTCAGGGACCACTTCCTCTCTGTTTGCCCCACCACACTCACCGTTGACCTCCTCGAGGAGCACCTCCTTGCAGCTGAGAAGAGTATAGTCGCTGTAGGAGCCTCTCGTGGTGACCCTCGTACCCCCTTCTTTGAGGGGTGCTCCCCCGTTCCCCTTTTGCCCTCTGTTGCCTCTGCTGCTGCTGTCGACCTCGTTGGCACCGAGTCGGTCGGCGCTGCGTCTGCCCCTAGCGGGAGACGCCGCAACGGCAAGGACAAGGGGGGCAAGAGCGCTGGAGGAGCTGGCGGGGGCGGTGGTGGTGGCGGTGGAGGCGGCGGAAGGGGTGGGGGTGGCGGTGGGAGTGGTGGCGGGGGTGGGGGCTTAGGTGGCGGTGGTGGAGGCGGAGGCGGAGGCGGCGGTGGCGGTGGGAGCGGAGGAGGCGGCGGTGGCGGCGGTGGCGGCAGCGGCGGTGGAGCTGGTCAGGGTGGCTCCGTGCAGTGGGGAGGCTTCGGTGGTGGTCAGCGCCAGCAGCAGCAGCGCGCTCGTGAGACCCCGCCCCCCCAGCAGCTTCGTGAGTGGTACGCTGCGCGTCAGCGG